ACTGGGGCCACTCAGACCTGGTTTCCGATCCTGGCTCCGCCACATCGTAGCTGGGCCACCTTAGGGAAATGGGTTTCCCTCTCTGAGCCTCAGTTTCCTCATCTGTAAAATAGGGATAAAGTCATCACAATGAGGCATATGGAAGATGTAGCGTAAGACAGGCCCGAGGGAGGCATAAGCCCTGCCCTTCACTCCTCTCCTCAAATCATGGCCGAGAACTGAATGTCAGCTCTAAGAAGAGGGTGCTTTCCAAGAGGATGGGAACGAGAGACAGAGCAGAGAGCTGGGGTCTGAGGGCTGGAGAAGGAAATGAAACCAATTCTGCACAGACTCTTTCAGAGTGTAGAAGAGGCCAGCATGGCCCCGGTAACCAAATCAAGAAGCAGATACCAGCGTGCCTCATGGACACCGATGCCAGAATCCGGAACACAATCTGTCCAGTCCGACCCAGCCATATTTAGAAGGGTAATGCGCCAGGGCCAGGCAGGGTGGGTCTCAGGTATGCAGAAGCGGCTGCCATTCAAAAACCATTTATAATTCAGCATAAAAAAATAGAATGGGCATGTCAATCACCAGGCGTGGTGGCTCATGTCTGCAGTCCTGGCACTTTGGGAGGCCAAAGCAGGAGGATTACTTGAGTCCAGGAGACCAGCCTGGGCAACATGGCAAAACCCCACCTCTACTAAAAATACAAAAACTTTAGCCAGGCGTGGTGGCGCATGCTTGTAGTCCCATCTACTTGGGAAGTTGAGGCAGGAGAATCGCTTGAACCTGGGTGGCGGAGGTTGCAGTGAGCCGATCACACCACCGCACTCCAGCCTGGGCAACAGAGTGAGACTCAATCTCAATAAACACAAAACAAAATAAAAATATTAGCCTCTGTGGTGGTGCATGCCTGTAGTCCCAGCTATTTGGCAGGCGGGAGGCTCGTTTGAGCTCAGGAGTTTGAGGGTGCAGTGAGGGGTGACTGTGCCCCTGCAGCCTGGGTAGCAGAGCGAGACCCCAACTCTTTTTTTTTTTGAGGTGGAGTCTCACTCTGTCACCCAGGCTGAAGTGCTGTGGCTCGATCTCAGCTCACTGCAACCTCCACCTCCGAGGTTCAAGTGATTCTCCTGCCTCAGCCTCCAGAGTAGCTGGGACTACAAGTGCGTGCCACCATGCCCAGCTAATTTTCATATTTTGAGTAGAGATGGGGTTTCACCGTGTTGGCCAGGCTGATCTCAAACTCCTGACCTTAGGTGATCCACTTGCCTCAGCCTTCCAAAGTGCTGGGATTATAGGAGTGAGCCACTGTGTCTGGCCAAGAGACACCAACCATTTTTTTTTTTTTTTTGAGACAGAATCTCACTCTGTCACCAGGCTGGAATGTAGTGACACGATCTTGGCTCACTGCAACCTCCGACTCCCAGGTTCAAGTGATTTTTTTTGCTTCAGCCTCTCGAATACCTGGGATTACAGGCATGTGCCGCTGTGCCCAGCTAATTTTTGTGATTTTAGTAGACACGGGTCTTCACCATGTTGTCCAGGATGATCTTGATCTCCTGACCTCATGATCCGCCCACCTTGGGCTTCCAAAGTGCTGGGATTTCAGGCATGAGCCATCTCGCCTGGCCTGATCCCAACTCTTAAATAAAAAAGGGAGAAGTTATTGGCTTTGCTCAGCAGAGCGCATTACCCATGCCTGGGTAGGTACACACCATCTGTCTTGTTCCCTGACGGGCACTGGAAGCTGTCAACCAACACAGCCGAGTCGACCTCCCCACCCAGGCTCTGTCCAGCAGCAGGGCAGGGTGGCAGGTCCTGCAGGAGTCACAGCCTCCTCCCTGTTCTCTCCAGCTCTGCTCTCGAAGGTTTCCCCAGAGGGGTCATCCAGGATCTGAGGGTGGCAGCTCCTCCCGTGGCCCTTGGATCTTCATGGAAAGGGTCTGGCAGAGCCAGCAGTGGCTGCCGCTGCCATCACACAGGATGTGGCTCCCAGCACTCTGGGAGGCCAAGGCGGGTGGATCACCTGAGGTCAGGAGTTTGAGACCAGCCTGGCCAACATGGTGAAACCCTGTCTGTATTAAAAACATAAAAATTAGCCAGCCATGGTGGCACAGGCCTGTAGTTCCAGCTACTCAGGAGGCTGAGGCGGAGTGATGATTCTGGAGACACATTGGTGTCTGAGAGTCATCAAGTCCAGAGAAAGCCTCGGAGGAGTCAGCCCTTGTCTGGGCTGTGCTAACAGCCATGACGGCACCACCTGTCCCAGTTTCTTCCTTGCCACCAGGGGCAACAACGCCCTGCGACCCACACTGAGCATCACCCATTATGTGTCAGGTTGGCAGGTGGAGGGCACCCCAAGTCACACATCAACCCCAAGGGGCCCCTGTCATCCCTGTTTGATAAGGACACCAATGCTCTGGGAGGGGACATCAGCACCGCCAGGAAGTGTCGGCAGCACTGGCTGCCGCTGCCATCATCCAGAATGTGGCTCCCAGGCAGTGCACCGACTGCATTCCAGGAGCCTCTCCCCTTCACGGTGTGCCAGGCGCTCTTGGGGCTCCACTGTCCCTTCAAAGCTTTAGAGGATTTGCCCAGAGCCCTCCATCCTTCAGAAACCCCTCCTCATCCTAAAGACTCCAGAGACCACCCAGCCACCTCCTGTAGAACCAGAAACCTTGCGGATCTGTGTCCCTGCTGGGGATACGGGCTCTGGATGGCAGAAGCTGTCCCCAGCCCAGCCCACACCTGGAGTTGGATCTGCCATGGATGACGGATTCTGGAGGGCGGGAGTGGAGGGAGAAGGAAGACGCCCTTACCCTTCTGCTCAGCACCTTGGAAAGGCACCGCCATCAGCACTGTGGGAATGCGCAGAAGCTACTTTAACCCGCCACAGTTCAAGATTGGATGCTGGGTTTTTTGTTGTTGTTTGTTTCTTTGTTTTCCCTGAGACAGAGTCTTACTCTGTTACCCAGGTGATTCTCCTGCCTCAGCCTCCCACGTAGCTGGGACTACAGGCATGTGCCGTCACACCTGGCTAATTTTTTGTGTTTTTAGTAGAGATGGGGCTTTACCATGTTGGCCTGGCTGCTCTTGAACTCCTGACCTGAAGTGATCTGCCCACCTTGGGCTCCCAAAGTGCTGGGATTACAGGGCATGAGCCACCAAGCCTGGCCAAGATTAGACGCTGCGGCTTTTTGCTGTGGTGGCCCGGCTGGACCCAGTGCTCCTGAGTTCCCTCAGGGCAAAGACCAGTTGCAGATCCCCATCCACAGCAAGGCTGGATGTGCAGGAGGCTTCAGCCAGAAGCGGGGGCCTTGGGAGGGTGGGCAGGGTCTTGGACCCTGTCTGCAGGGGCATTCTGGCTGGACCACCACCATCGAGGATGTGGAGTCTCTGCAGCAGGGGCAGGACCTGTAGGCCTGTAGGCTGGGCCTGGGAGACTCACCTGCCTGTTGCCATTGGCCGGCAAGTCCCTCTGTGGCAGCCTGCCCCTTGGACTGACAGCAGCACAGCTGTATCCCTGCCCCGTCCCTGTGAGGTCAGCCAGCACGGGAAGATGTTCTCTTCCCCGAAAGTGTCCTGTGGGTTATGGACTGAATTGGGTCCTCCCAAAAACATATGCTGAAGCTTTAATTCCCAGTGTCTATGGATGGGACCTTCTTTGGAAAGAGAGTCTTCGTCGATGTGATTAAGATGGGGGGCTGGGCATGGTGGCTGACGCCTGTAATCCCAGCACTGTGGGAGGCTGGGGCAGGTGAATCACCTGAGGTCAGGAGTTCGAGACCGGCGTGGACAACATGGTGAAACCCCATCTCTACTAAAAAATACAAAAAAATTAGCCAGGCGTGGTGGTGCATGCCTGTAACCCCAGCTACTTAGGAGATGGAGGCAGGAGAATTGCTTGAACCCAGGAGGTGGAGGTTGCAGTGAGCAGAGATTGTGCCATTGCACTCCAGCCTGGGCAACAAGAGCAAAACTCCATCTCAGGAAAAAAAAAAAAAAAAAAAAAAAGAAGTGGGCTAAGATGAAGTTCTGCTGGAGTAGGATAGACCCTAAGCCAGTATGACTGTTATTCTTATAGGAAGGGAACCATAGGCAGTGGCAGGAAGACAGACACAGACACAGGGAGAAGGCCATGTGGGAACAGAGGCAGAGAGCGGCAGGATGAGGCCGAGGGCCAAGGAATGCTGAGGTCAGCTGGCCACCACCAGACAGACTGGCTCCCACCCGCTGTGCTGCCTCCTGGCTGGGAAACCTTGGGCAAGTCTGAGGGCTTTGATTTTCCCATCTATACAATGGTCATGTCGATCACCCCACATCAGAGGGCTGTTGAGAGCCGCTGACCAGCGCTCACACTCCAAGTGTGGCTTGGGGAGCTGAGGGTGTCCCCTGAGCCTCCGGCCGATCTGTAATAGGACCTGGGCGCTCTTGCCTCCTGGCCCTCTCCCCTTTCCTCCCAAGAACATTCTTCCCCTCCTTCCTGGCTCCCTCTATCCATTCCCCGCATTTGGGCTGACTTCTCCTTCTGGGACCCCTGCCCTGACCCCCCAGGCTGGGCTCCAGGCCTTCGCTCTGAGCCCTCACTGTCCTGCACCTCCCTCCTGGCAGCTCTCGTAGCTTGCTGTGTTTGTCTGGTCACTTGCCCACTTTCTGGGGGACGGGGATCAGGTTAGCCAGGAGTCGGGACGGCGAGGCTTTGGGAAGGCCTGAGGCTGAAGTGAGAGAAGGTCTCTGGTCCATCAGCATCACAGCGAGGGTTTCTCAAAACGGTCCCTGCCTGGGTTCCAGGGAGCAGCCAGCACAAGACCTCGGGGCTGGGGAAGCACCAGGCGACCACTCCAGGGCGAAGTGACCAGCCAGCCTGGTAAAGGCCAGGAGCAGGCCAGCGGTGCCCAGAGACCCCTAACCCTGGCACCACGCTGAAGAATTACCCCACCCCTCCACCCGGTCCCATGTTAACAAGGCCAGTGCATCCAGAGCAATTGAATTGCACAAGGAAAAAGCCACATGGAGAGGGCCATTTGCATGTCATCTGTATTGTCACATGAAATGCACATCCGTAACGGGTGACTTGGAAACGACCTATTAGGTCACACAGAGTCCGGCCCCTGGGGGCCAAAGCCTCATCGATGCCCACGGGCGGTGGCCAGTGCTTTCCCTGGACTGTGGCGTGTGCACTGGGTCTCCCTGGTGGAGAGTCAGCTCACGCCCCAGGCCCTGCAGCTGTCTGACAGCAGCTCCCAAAATGCGCTTGAGGAACCAGTGGTTCCTTGGGGGTTAATAGCTGTTCCCCAAGAAGAGGGTTCCATGGTCAAATAAGTTTAGGAAACATGGGTTCAACAAGGTTTAGCAAGAAGCTTTTTCTACAGGACTTGTCAGAGCCTTTACGGCAATAACGGCCTTTGTGAATGTCCAGCTTGGGGACAGAGCATGCAGCACTTCCCAAAGTTATTGAACCACAAAACCCCTTTTCCCCAAAAGCATCTCGCGGGCTGGTGTCCCACGGGGCATCCTTTGGAAAGTGCTGCCCTAAGCCGCCGATGACCGTTAATGGCTATGGCGCCTGCATTAGGCTGTAGGTGGGGGCATTTTGGCAGGCGTCAAGCTGTGGCGTGATGGGCACAGCCAACAACTCAACAGTCATGACGATGAAAGGACAAGACAAGACTCGGCCCCCTCCCACCATCCTGGTTTCCACTGTCCCCAGAGCAGAAGCCTAAATAGGGCTGTCCCCACAGGTGAGTTCCAGCTGCCTAGAAAGACCCAGAGTCCAAGCAGAGGGGCAAGAGGCCCAGCACTGCCGAACATGCTCGTCACCAGGCGGGGTGGCCTGGGGTCACCGGCCTCCAACCAGGAGGGGAGAACGACGTGGGGGTGGCCGCTCTGTTCCGCCTGCGCCCGCTGCCTCGCCACCCGCTGCCCCTTCTCTAGGGCCAGCCCTGCCCCCAGAGCCTTGTGTGGGCCGGCGGGTGCTTCACCAGGCAGAGATGAGCATCTGGCAGGTGCTGGAGGGCATCCAGACCAGCTCCACCAGGCGGAACTGGAGGTAGCCGATGACGAAGCCGGAGAGGACGTCCGTGACGTGGTGGCGGCCGATCATCACGCGGGACAGCCCCACGCAGAAGGCCCAGAGCACCAGCAGCACACGCAGGGGCACCGCCAGCACCAGGTGGCTGAGGAAGAACTTGGACACCATGGCGGCGCGGCTGGCGTGCCCGGCTGGGAAGGCGTAGACGTCCATGGTGAGGTAGTCCAGGAGGCTGGGGCTGGTCTCGTACGGGCCACGCCGCTTGATGAGTTTCTGCACGCCGGCCACCGTCATGATGTCCAGGAGCAGGGCTGTGGGCAGGAGACAGAGGGCCCGGGGCCATCAGGGCCAACAGCCAGGCCCAGGCCCCCCCAGGTCCCCCACCTCGTCTCCCCTTCCTACCCCTCAATCAGGCCATTCAGCCACACTGATCCGCCCAGGCATGGTCCCACCTCAGGCCATTGCCCTTGCTGCCCCCCACTGCCCGGCACACCCTGCGCTTCCCATAGCCACTTTCCTTGGCGGAGAAGCCTTTCCTGACCACACTGTTTGTAAAAGCCCCGACCACGCTCCCTTCCCTCACCTTGCTTAATTTTTTCATACAGCTTTTCTCATGCCTTGATATAATATGCATTTTCTCTCTCTCTCTCTCTTTTTCTCTCTCTCCCTCCCTCCCGCTTTCCTTTCTTTCTGTCTTGGGGGATTTGCCTCCTCTAGAAACTCATAAATGGAATCAGACAATATGTCACCTTTTGTGTCTGCCTTCTTGTCCTTAGCATAATGTTAACGAGGTTTGCCCACGTGGTAGCATGTGTTAGTACTTCATTCCTTTTCATGGCCGAATAATATTCCATTGTATGGACGGATCACTATCTCATCTTTCCTTCTTTTTTTTTTTTTTTTTGAGACAGAATCACCTAAGCTGGAGTGCAGTGGTGTGAGCCCAGCTCACTGCAACCTCCATCTCCTGGGTTCAAGCAATTCTCGTGCCGTAGCCTCCCGAATGGCTGGGATTACTGGGGCCTGGCTAATTTTTGTATTTTTAGTAGACACAGAGTTTCACCATGTTGGCCAAGCTAGTCTTGAACTCCTGACCTAGGGTGATCCGCCTGTCTTGGCCTCCCAAAGTGCTGGAATTACAGGCATGAGCCACTGTATCCAACCTCCTTTTTTTTTTAATGAGATAGATATCTCTGACTGAGCATGGTGGCTCATACTTGTAATCTCAGCACTTTGGGAGGCTGAGGTGAGCATACTGCTTGAGCCAAGTAGTCCGAGACTAGTCTGGGCAAGAACATGGCAAAACCCTGTCTATACAAGTACAAAAATTAGCCATGGGTGATGGCACATGCCTGTAGTTCCAGCTACTCAGGAGGCTAAAGTTGGAGGATTGCTTAAGTCCAAGAGTTTGAGACCAGCATGGGCAACATGGCAAAACCCCATCTCTACAAAAAAAATACACCAAATTAGCTGAGTGTGGTGGTGCAACTATTCAGGAGGTGACAGAGTGAGACCCTGTCTTTAAAAAAAAAAAAAGAGAGAGAGAGACAGAGATGGTGTCTCTTTCTGTTGCCCAGACTGGAGTGTAGTGGTGCAATCATAACTCACTGTAACCTTGAATTCCTGGGCTCAAGAGGTCCTCCTGCTTCAGCCTCCTGAGTCACTGAGACTACAGGTGTGCCACCCTGCCCAGCTAATTAAAAAATATTTTCTTTTTTTGTACAGATGGGGGTCCCACTTTGCTGCCCAAGATGGTCTCAAACTCCTGACTTCAAGCTATCCTCTCACCTCAGCCTCCCAAAGTGCTGGGATTCCAGGCGTGAGCCCCTGTGCTGGACACTATTTGTTTGTCCCGTCATCTGTTGATGACTATCGAGCTGTTTGCACCTTTCGGCTGCTGTGACTCACGCTGCTATGCACACATCTTCTGCCAGTGTTTGCTGAGTGCCTGTTTCAGTTCTTTTGATAACTCCCTAGGATTGGGGTCGCTGGTTAGTAATGACAGTAACTGTGTGTGACTCTTTGAGGAACCCCACTGTTTTCCCAGCAACCGAACTGTGTCATCCCCACTTCACAGAGGACAAGATGACCCCTTTAAGCTCGAAGCACTCATACCTGCTGCTCCTGCTTTCTGGAATGTTCCACTCTTTCCCAACCCACCACCCCAGGGACCTGCCCCGACCTTCCAGACAGCTCAGGCCCTGAAAGGTGAAGTCTCAACACCTGGCCTCTCTGCTTCAGGCTCGTCCCCTGCAGTCACTGGGGAATCTGTTGGGAGGAATCTGCTCGCTGAGGAATCTGTTGGGAGGAATCTGCTCGCTGTCTGGCGTAAGCCATCACTTTGTGGAGGCGAGGGCCATGCCTGTTTGTTTCATAGGTTTTTTTTCCCCTGGGGCTAGAAACAGAGCTGCCGTCTTCAACTTAGCTGAGTTACTGGCCTAAGGCTCATAACCAGAGAGGTGGACACTTTCCCTTTTATTTATTTATTTATTTTGAGATGGAATTTCACTCTTGTTGCCCAGGCTGGAGAGCAGTGGCGAAATCTTGGCTCACTGCAACTTCCACCTCCCGGGTTCAAGCAATTCTCTTGCCTCAGCCTCCCAAGTAGCTGGGACTACAGGCGCACACCACCACGCCTGGCTGATTTTTTTTTTTTTTTTTTTTGCATTTTTAATAGAGACAGGGGTTTCATTGTGTTGGCCTGGCTGGTCTCGAACTCCTGACCTCATGATCCACCCACCTCAGCTTCCCAAAGTGCTGGAATTACAGGCATGAGCCACCGTGCCCGGCATTGTTTTTTTTTTTTTTTTTTTTTTTTTGAGACAGAGTTTTGCTCTGTTGCCCAGGCTGGAGTGCTGAGGCACAATCTCAGCTCACTGCAACCTCCACCTTCCGGGTCCAAGTGATTTCCTGCTTAGCCTCCTGAGTAGCTCAGACAACAGACACCTGCCACCACAGCTGGCTAATTTTTGTATTTTCAGTAGAGACGGAGTTTCACCATGTTGGCCAGGCCGGTTTCAAACTCTTGACCTGAAGGGATCTGCCTGCCTCTGCCTCCCAAAAAGTGCTGTAGCACCCAGACAGCCAATGTGGGGTTTCTGGGTCAACCCTCCCCACCCTTAGGAAGGCCCTTGGAGCTCACACCCTCTGACCTGGGGTGGGGGTGGCATCGGCAGGCCAAACAGCACCCCCAGGGCAGGTGCAGAGTCAGCAGGGAGCCTGTGCCCCTCCCCCCTGTGCCTCCCCACCTCAGGTGACCTTGGTGACCCCAGTGAGGTCACAGCCCCTATAAGCCCTGCTTCAGGGACAGTGAAGACAACAGCCACCGTGCAGTGCAGTGGCAAAGCTCACAGGCGTCACAGCCAGAGAGCCGGGTGTCGGTTCCTGCCCTGGAGCCTCCCAGCTGTGTGACCTCGGGCAAGCCACCTAACTTTCCTCACCTTCGAGACTGTGGGAAGTAGGAAAGTTCCTTTTTAAAGTTACCTTTCTTATTAAAGAATAAATCATAAGTGTGCTAATAACTTTGTTGAGCCCTATCCTATGTAGCTGTGAGACATGCCATGCTTACAGACACAGAGTACATTCTATGTCCTTGTGCTTTAACCAAGATATCTGTGCTGGGCGTGCTCACAGGTGTGTCCCAGCTCTCCACCGCTTTTTTTTTTTTTTTTTTGAGACGGAGTTTCGCTCTTGTTTCCCAGGCTGGGGTGCAATGGCACGATCTCGGCTCACTGCAACCTCCGCCTCCTGGGTTCAGGCAATTCTCCTGCCTCAGCCTCCTGAGTAGCTGGGATTACAGGCACGTGCCACCATGCCCAGCTAATTTTTTGTATTTTTAGTAGAGACGAGGTTTCACCATGTTGACCAGGATGGTCTCGATCTCTTGACCTCGTGATCCACCTGCCTCGGCCTCCCAAAGTGCTGGGATTACAGGCGTGAGCCACCGCGCCCGGCCACCGCTTTTACCTGTTTAGAAAAGTTTTAAGTTGTTAGCCAATCGGGGGTTAGTTTAAAATGTGAGGTCTGGTTCCGGTCAACAGAGATGAGACAGCAGTGAGGACGACCGCAAACGTTAAGGAATACATATGTCTGCTTTCGTGTGTTCATTGTGCCCTCGTGGCATGGTAGCTAATGAGGGTACCTTCCTGCAGACCAGGAAGTAAAAGTTGTGTTGCTAAAAGATCCTTTGTCTCAGTGCTGATTTTTCTTTGTGAGCATCTATTTCCAACAGAGACCAAGCTCATGGACACCCACTTCCCAGAGGGAGCCTTGCACAGTGCCTGCAGGGTGACAAGGTTTCCCTGGGACAGAGGAGTTTCCTAGGACACAAGGCATTCAGTGCTAAAGCAGGGAAGTCCCAGCAAATGACTGAGTTGGTCCCCCGCAAACGCAAATTCCTCCACGAGGAAGGCTGGATAGGGATCGGGGGTTATGACTCAATGACAGTCCACTGCAGCCTGATGCTGTTGCAGTGTTTATCAGCATGGGCAGCTCCTGGCAGAAATAAAAACAAAAATCTAGAAAAAAAAAAAAAAAGACACGGTAGATGCTGTTCACTGCAGAACATTTACAAAACAGAAAACAAAAGTTAGAGTTTAAATCACCTGGAACCTGCCCCTCAGAGGGAGCCGCTGTTCCAGACCCTCCCATCCATCTATAAGGCATAGATATAATAAAGGTGGTAACATGGTTTACATATGACGTTCTGTCACCTGTGTTTGAGTCTTGCCTCGTCACATACCCCCGACCCCCATGCTGCAGGGGCGAGGCACTGTGGCACACCTAACTGTCCGTGCCAGGCAGTCAGCCTGTTCCATGCCACACAGTCCTCCCTGGAAAGAACAGAACTTTGAGGCCCAGGTGCAGTGGCTCATGCCTGTAATCCTAGCACTTTGGGAGGCTAAAGTGGGTGGATCACCTGAGGTCAGGATTTTCAAGACCAGCCTGACCAACATGGAGAAACCCCATCTCTACTAAAAACATAAAATTAGCTGGGCATGGTGCTGCATGCCTGTAATCCCAGCTACTTGGGAGGCTGAGGCAGGAGAATCACTTGAACCTGGGATGCTGAGGTTGCAGTGAGCAGAAATTTTGCTACTGTATTCTAGCCTGGTGACAGAGCGAGACTCTGTCTCAAAAAACAAAAAAAAAGAAAGAAGAAAGAACAGAACTTCAGGCCCCCCCGCCCCCCGCCACCTTTCCTGCCTACTTCAGGGTTGTTGCTTGCAGTCTGGTCTCTCTGTCTGGGGTTTGAACTGTGGCCTCTCCTGGCCCCTCTCATTAGCCACAGGGCTGGCTGAGAGCCTGGCAC